AACTTTCTGTGTTTTTTTTTCAAGGCTTTGATTTCTATCGTCCACCTGTTTTTGTTCCTGACGATAGAGTGATGTTGTATTGCTATTGTTTTAGGGGTGTCTCCATCAGGATTTTTCAAGGTTTCAAAGTTGACTTTTTCACAGTTTGCTACATTCAGGGTAATCTCTTTGATTTTCAAGCAAACCTTTCCTTTGGACCGTTTGTAACAGCAGATTTTCAGACCAGCCGACACCAGCTCTGTGATGTGTTCATCTGGTGGAATTTCGCTGGTGAGCTTGCCTAAATAATTGCCTAGCAGGGGCTTCCAGTCTCGCACACGGCTCACAGATATCACGGTAGCTGTGTTGTGGTACAGACTGGTGTCCTGCAATCTGTCTAGCGGACAACTCTAAGTGCACATAAGCGGTGGTGAAACAGGCTATAAAGGTGTTTGTGTTACCCGAGAGCATGTAACGCTCTTTGGCGTGCTTCCAGGCACGCAGGTTGTCTCATTATCAATAAAGTCACAAGATGCAATTTCATAGGTGGGAGAAAAGAGATAGCCGAAGAGTTCTTCGGGGTCTCTGACGATGGTGGTGGTGGGTACGTTGGTTCTCTGACCGAATTTACCCTACAAAGAATTTAAAAACAACTTTGCAATTTGGCGCTTTGGGGTTTGGTTTAATATGCTCTGGGCATAAAAGCACGCCTTCTGTTTGGAAGAAATTGTCCATGTATCTGTCTTGATTTTCTTGGTTGGTACACTGAGGTTTCCTGCTTCTGTCAGAGGTGCAGATTTATGTACCATGAAAAAAAGTGTGTTAGGCCACTCAGCAAAATGTCACACTTCATAGATTTTAGCTACTTTGCACCCCATTGGGCTTTGTTAAATTCTGGTGTGCACCACGTGTCTCGGAGGGCCCTCTCCTTGTCAGCATGGTCGCACTTTTGCTGTCTTGGTCCTGCACAGAGGTAGGACAGTGGGGACATAAGTTTCCCATTTACTCTGATTGGAGAAAAGAGGGGAAAAGGGTTTCATGGCAGGTGCAATTTTACCTAGGACATTCCAAAATAGCTTGACAGGGTCTGAAATTGTCGTGTATGATTTCAGGGTATCCGACAGGGTATTCCTTTGTTTTGTTTATGAAGGGGTAAAGAAACAGAGTCACCACTAAAAAAGATAATCCTTTAATCTTCAATTATGCAAACAACCCTGCTGTTAGAAGCTCTGACTTCTTCTGCGAGCAGCATGTGGTCATGGCTTTCCTACCAGATAAGCCCTCTGTATTAAAAATTAAATAATACAGCAAGTAAAATAGTGTGTATGTGTATAATTTATATAAAGTAAAAGTATATACCAAACTGTTTTAAAACAGAGTCACCACTAAAAACAACTTCTGGAAAAGATAATCCTTTAATCTTAAAATATATAAACAATGCTGTAAGAAGCTTTGACTACTTCTGCAAGCAGCTTCTCGTCACATAGGCTACATTTTTTTGCTGGTTGGTTTATCTTTACAACACATTCCCTGGTCCTGGGAAATTAACCACATGCTCTGTCCCACCCAAAAATGACAGTTCAACCCCACAGAATAGCACACAAATGCTGTGAGATATATTTCAAATCAGTCTTTATTTACATCAAAAACATTTATAATATTTACTGGGTTTCTTTTGCTAAATCTCCTTCTCCTAAGAAGGGGTTTTATAATTTCTAGTGACAAGTAAGTCTCATTGGCTTTACCTTTACAATATGCCCCTCATATGAATGTGCTTAGAGATCCAAGGATCCAAGGCACTGAAGCAAATGGTAATATGTCCATCTGAAAACAGCTGTTGTGCTTTAGTCTTACTTCAATGATTTTATCTTTAACCCCTCCCACTCCCCCCTCCCCCCCACAAAAGCAAAAGTTACACCAGTAAAAAAATGTTAAACTGTTTTTGCTAAACGCTTCTCTTGAGCAGGGTTTTATAATTTGTAGTGCCGATTAAACATTCAATATAGTGTACCAGAGGTTTATTCTCAGTGATCAAGCCATAAAGAGCAGTGTTAGGATTTTCTGGCGAATGCACAGCATTTAGAAGCTCTGTTCCCTGGGCGAAATGTTTCTCAGTGATTCTTAGAATTTTCTTGGCATATCCAATAGCAATAATGGCAAGTAGAACACTTTCCATACCCAGCTCATTGCAAAGTTCCTGAATTGTTTGATTTCTATCTTCATCTAACCAGGTAACACAGTCATGACGACCTTGACCACACTCATCAAAAACACAACCCATGAACTTTTCAAAAAGCCTCATTCTCAGACAGTATTTCATTATGCCATAAAAAGAAATGCACGTAAGAGACTTCATTAAGATTTTATGTTCTTGACGTGAAACATCATCTGTTGATTCAATGCCCAATTGTCTTCTAAAACCTTCATCTTCATCTGAAATGTCTGGTTTCTGTTCTCTGCAAAAAGAGCTGGGTTTTTTTCTGGTGTCAGGTTTATAGGCGTGCTGGCAGGCAGGCTTTCTTGAGTCATTAAAAAGGCTTCATCTAACTACAAGGGGATTCAAATAAAAACCTTAGTTAGCTGCTGTTTAATCAATGTTAGGTTATTCCTACCTCCCACTTCCCCTATGGGATGAACCCCCCTCCCCCACCACCATCAAAACCTAAGTACCCCTCACAACAATGCTTCAAGTCTCTTACTAGCATCTCCGTTCCCCATCAATCTCTTCTTTTCTCTCCACGCAGGCTCTGGCACAAGGCCACCCTCTTCTTCCAAATAATCAACGAGTGTTTCGGGGGTCTGGGTCTCTGTCTCAGAAGCCTGCTTCTTTATGCTTGCATGGGTCTCCAGCTCACAGGTCTTCTGTTGCATGCTCACATGGGCTTCCAGATCAGGTTCAGGCATCTCAGGGAGTCTTTGGGCTAGGGGTCTGCTCTCTCTAATCTCCCCCTCAAAACTATTACTACAGTAACACTTTCTATGCAGGTGTTCAACAAGTCTTGGTGGTGAGGTGAGGATGAGGAGTCTTACCAACATAGTGTAAGAATCCATATCTGCCCCTCTCTGCCTTAGAGCAGTCCCAGACAAACAGAAGACCCACTTTGGAAAGCAGACGGACGGGGTGGGCTTGCGGCCCCACCCCTCTACTTCTACCAGTTGGTTCAGCACCATTCTTGGGTAGGCCCAAGGGCTTTGAAACCTCTGTTAATTGGTCGGGGTGGTGGGGCAGGTTGTTAGAGGGGTCACAACCCCCTGCTACCTGATTAATCACCCCTGTGCCTTATGGTCTAGGGCAGTGCTGTGCAACATGAGGGATGGGGGCAGGGGGGTTGAGGCCTGTTGGGCAACCCTTTTGATGTCACACACTATGTGATGGGGCAGGGAATTCTGGAGCCAACATAGCAGTCTGGGGCCTGATAGGTCAAGACCATACTATGTGGTCTAGGGCAGGTTTTGAAGCATGAGGGGCAGGCTTTGGGGCCCAAATGGGCATCCCTTCTGATGTCACAGACCATGTGATGGTGGTGTCATGTAGCATGTGATGGGGCTAGGGCAGGGTTTTTGATGTCACTCATCATATGACTGGGGACAGGGGGTGGGTTTCTGATGTCATGCCTCATGTAACTGGGGGCCAGGGTGGGGTTTCTGATGTCACGCATCATGTGACTGGGGCAGAGTTTCTGCTGTCACACAGTATGTGACCAGGAGGCAGGGGGGGTTTGTGGTGTCACATGTCATGTGACTGGGGGCAGGGCAGGGTTTGTGATGTCCTGCACCATGTCACCAAGGGGCAGGGGCAGGGTTTGTGATATCATACACCATAAAAAGGGGAAAAGGTGGGGCACCTGATTAGTTGATGAACTGGTGTCTCTATATACTACTCTTGGTAATCCCACACTCATTGACCTGAGCCAATTGGCCTCTCTCATTGCCACAGTGGTATAATTACAAGATCACAGATTACAAGTCCTGCTCCTGCAGTCCCCTTTGCTGCTGGTGTTTTTCCTGTACTAGCTGAGTCAGTGAAATAGCTGCTTGTTTCTCTAAAGATGAAAAATGAAGTTCATAGAGGAAGCATAACCATTAGCATGAGAATGCAGAGAGCCCAGAGCTGCAATGTGTACCCAGAGCACCCTGCAAGAAACCCCTGGAGCCAGTTCCTGGAGAAATGACTAATAAAGTGACTGTGAACTATCAATTAGCCTGTCTGGAAAATCAGATCTCTGCTGCCCATTGGCTCCATGGCATGAACCCTGTGTGTATAACTTGTCACCCATTAAAGCATTAACACCAATGGATGGATTTTTTGGTACATTGACTGAATATAGAGCTCACTCCCTTAGGCCAAATTTATGTTTGGGTAACACAGTTACATTCAGAAGAGGGTCAGGCCCAATGCTTAGGATGAAGAAATGGCTAAGAAGCATGTGTAGCAGCTGGGAGCTGTGGTGAGGCTGGGTGAAATTCACCCCGCTTAGCCTCCATGCTGTCCAGAACTGGATGGCCTTGCTCATGTGTTCCCTGCTGATCTGCTTTCCTTCTGCCAGTTGAGAACCAGTAGCTGGAAGGTAGAACTGGATTTTGTGGCCTTAGGATTTCATCCACTACTACTTGTCTTTATTCATCAGGGAGTTTGAAATATAATGACTTGCTTGGCAAGAAGCCCCTGGGGATGGGCAGTGACTTGTCTGTGCCATTTGGGGCCCAATCCAGAACCCAGTATGAGTTTTTCCATTTACATGCATCAGTCTTGGGCCTGGTCTCAGCCCTAATGTATTCTTGGTGCGAGTATGGAGCATGTGGAGTAGGTGCCTGCTGCTCTATACTGCCCGTTCTAAGTCTGTGGGCAACATGCTCCTCTCAGATTACAATTTACTCCACACTGTATCAACTGCCAGACCCAGTTGTGGAAGGAGTAAGCAGTACTCCCTGAGGCTGGCTTGCTCCAGCACATGAGGGTCTAAGTCACAGGGACCTGCTTTTCCTTACATTGCCTGAGGGCATGTACTGTTTTCCCACAGGCACTCCTGCAAGGACAGACATGTGGGCCTTCAGAGGGCTGTGGAGAGGCCGGACTCAGAAGCCAGACACCTTTCCTCAGTAACAGAGAAACACTTGTCCCCAGCTAAAGCCAGGATGGTGACAGAGGCCTGGGTGAGTTCAGGGAACCTATTTTTGTTGATGGTTTTACTAAGGGTCCATTCTGACTCTTTCATGACAATTCAGGGCTGAAAAGCTTCTAGCCATGTGCTGTGCAGAGTTGGTCTGTGGATCAAGGGATTGGGCTCAGTACAGCAGACTGATTTAAAGCAGATAGTGCTCTTGGAGGCTATGCCCTCTTATTGTGGGATCCTGGAGATCCCTGATGATCAGCACTTGGGTGGCAACTATCCACAGAAGAGGCAGTGGTGGTGCTTCAGGCGCTTCATGCTGCTGGCTGTAAGGAGAAAAAACTGAGGACTTTCAGCTGAAGATACCATCTTTCAGATGAAGTATAAAATCCACACTACTCCTCATTTGCAAAAAGCCCATAAGTATTTTTGAGGGTTGAGCTCCAGTGTCCTGGCCATATTCAAACTTGGAAAATTCCATTTCATCTCCTGAAATTCCTCTTAAAGTCTGCTGAATATGTACTTCATCATGGGTTGGGCAACATGGCTGTGAGCTGTTTACGAGGTACCCCTTTCTGTGCCTCAGTTGGCTGCATTTTAATGGCACCCAAATCCTGTGCCTGGTCCATGGAAATGGTACAAAGCTTTGTTTGTTAGTGTTGTCAGGTCCTGGCAGGCTCCATCTCTGCACCATGAAGAAGCTAAGACACAGGGAGGTGACTTGTCTGTGATCACCTAACAAATCTGTAGCACAACCAGGCAATAAACCCCACTTTCCTGCACTACAGGCAGGCTCCGTCCATGAGGCCATACTACCTCAGCATGTTCTGACTCCAGGCTAAAAGTTTGTCTTTGCTCTAACCCACAGGAACTGGGTGAACATCACCATCTCTGCTCTGCGTCTTTCTCCTCCATAAGCACTGCATCTCTCCCCAGGCAGCATGACTCTGGAGCCTTGAAGTTGCTGCACCATCTCCAGGGCCGTGTGAGAAAGCTGCGGATAGAGAATGCCATCAACCACTGGGGCAGCCTGGAGGACCTGGCCAGCCTGCAGGGAGAGCTGGGCCACACATTTTGAGAAAAGGTAACAGGGCAATATCTGGCATAGGAGCCAGCACACTCACTGTAGCCTCACTGAAGAGACTAGTCAGAAGGTGAACAAGGGGCTGAAGTGTAGGACGACATAATGCACAACCCAGCTTGACTGCACAGCTGGTGCGTATTTCATAGCTCACTGCTCTCAGAGACTCTGTAGTCTGGTGGGTATAATACTGAATGGGAGAACTTGGGATCTATTCCTGGCTTTGCTATGAGCCTCCTGGATTACCTGGGGCAGGTCACATCACCAGTCTGTTCCTGGATTTCCCTCCCTGCAAGATGGGATAGTGCTACAAACCTCCTTTGTAAAATTCTTTGAGACCTACTGGTGAAAAATGTTGCTCATATCTCTGAGCTCCCCTTAGCCCCCTCTCAACATCCCTTCTGCTCTCCACAAAGCCCATCTCAACCTGTTGTCGGGAATCAGAGCAGCCAGCCGGCAGCTGCTTTCTGACCCCCCCCGACCAGAGCAGTAAAACTTTCACCTAACAGGCGGGTAGTGATGGATGGGGTGAAATTAACCAGGCACAGACACGTGTTGGTTACAGGAGATTGTTTACTTACGTCGCCCAGATAGTGACGTGCGACACAGGCTGAGCCTTTGTTCCGTTACAGTTGCATCGATTATAGTCAAACGTACGGGTTACAGCCAAGCAATGACGGACATGGCGCCAAAAACGTGCTATCGTGCCTGCAGGGCTTTGATACGTCAAGATTTACGATAGCAGGGAGTCATTGACAGCTGATCAGACTGCGAAGTTACTCTGGTGATGGACTCAGGTTTCTCCTCAGAGATTCCCCAGAGTTTTCTCCCTTGGGCGGAAACTGCTAAACTATTTATAGACAGAGGTGTCTGACGGAGATATCCAATGATGAACCGTTATGTGGAATCTTTAATTTTCTGGCAAGCAGCAGTTCTTTGTGCTCTCAGCTTGCTATCAGGTTACAAGGTAGTGGGTTAGGTTTTCTGCTTGTTACGTATGAGGTTATGATGAGGGGTTTACGTTTGTTTCTTGACCAATTGCAGGGATTTATGGCAGGGCTATCCCCTTTCACCCTGACCAGTCTTAAGTTTCGTTTTTTGTTTGTGACGTGGGCATAAATTATATACAGCTCTCCGCCAGGATTTTGTTTCAGGAGTTTCTGGCAAGGATTTCTTTTAACCCTTAGTTGACTACTTGAATGGTATCTCTTGCTAGTGGCATGGGCACTGATTAACTGGGTTGTGACACCTGTATTGGGGACCTCACTCCTACCGACTTTTGGATTCCTCCTCCACCTCTTCTTTTGCTTTTCTCTTACTCCTACCCCCACCAAAAAGTGGGCAATTGACCACACCTACTGGAGGATGAAGGACCTTCTGTCCCACTCTGCATTGCAGGGTTAGATAGGATTGAATTAAATCTTCTGGACCCCAGCTTGCAGTTCTTTTTTTTCCTTATGCAGAGGCACTTGATGACAGATCTCTCCTTCCCATCGTTCCAAGGCATATACAGTAAGAAGTAGAGCATTTGCTGCTGAAGAACTTGAAGCTGAGCAGGTGGAAGAGTCATCTCCTGTGGACAGGGAGTGGTTGTAAAGGAATGGTTACAGCATTACTAAAATCACTCAAGACTTTGAGGGAATTCTTTGTCGTGCTTGAGGTTCCTGGATGGCAGGAAGGATGGAGATGATGTGACTCCATGACATCAAATACTCAGGATACTACCCATTGAATTTTTTGCATGGAAGCTTCCCAGTAACACGCTCCTGGCTGCTCTCTATGGTCCTTGGCCTAATTTCTTGCTAAGTAAATTCTAGGACTTTTTTCCTTTTGAATGAAAATGTGCTAGTTTGGAACTGAACAAAATGCCTGCATAGGTAATAACCAGATGGGAGCCAGGAGCTATGGGGAACCTGGAGTCATATTTTTGAGCTCTGAAGACCTGGAGTGCTGACTAGGTGGGACTAATCCAAAGAACAAGTCCAGGTAAACATGGGAGCCTAAACAGACAAATCTTCACTGCTGCTTTCCCCAAATGATTCAAACTTAATGTTGATAAGCCTGTAAAAGCCAGGAGTCAGGTGGTGGGAGCTGGAATTCATGCCAAGATATTTTCTGATACTAGAAGGAGTGGATTATTGAAGTGGGAGTGGGTGTTTCTAGAACCTACAGAGTGAGCAGGTCAGTTTTTAAGGCTGTGGGAAAAGTGCCAATCAGTGTTTCCTCTAAGCTGTGTGGCGTGCGGGGCTGCACAGGCGCGCTTATGCCGTGCTGCCAGGCATGCTTGCGTGGCCGCGTATGCCGCACAGTTTAAAAGGAACGCTGGTGCCAGTGTGTTCATTCCTGAAGAGACCTTGGTGGCTTTTAAATCCTATCCTGGCTCATACTTCAAACAAGAGATTTGTGACTGCAGTTTCTTTAGGAAAGGAGCCAAGCTGTTCTCCAGATTTTCACATTACAGCTGCTACCACATCCTCAGTGCTGATTATGCCAAATCAGCAATGGCAGGGAAATTGCCAGATCTGATCAGCAGTGGGAGTGTATATTCCAGATGTGTATGCATGTCATACATAAGAGCTGGATGGGAGAGACTGTCACAACACTGGCTGACTGGAGTGTGCTTGGTACACCATGTCTGAAGATGGCTTGAAATACTGTACTGGTGCAGTGCTTTCATTGTTATTTGTCACCTCTCTAGGTTTCTGTTTGTTCCCCATGTGCAGAGCCAGCCTAGAAATGACTCCTTTTCCTGTACTGCTGTTCCTACTTGTCAGAATTTAGCAGGGGCTGGCATTGTAACAGACTAGCATTCATGGCGAGAGAATTCCAGCCTTCACAAAGGCAGTAGAACATTTTTGTTGAGCAACTTCCTCTGCTGCTGTGTTTGTAGATATGCTCCTATATTCCAGTGTAGCAATATATAAGCTGTATAGGCTCCAGTGCTTATACCAGTGTATTTGAATTTAGAGCTAGACTGTTCTTACTGGTGGCAGATGACGGAACAAGGACAATGGTCTTAAGTTGCAGCAAGGGAAGTTTAGGCAGATATTAGGAAAACTTGCTCACTAAAAGGGAATAAAGCACTGGAACAGGATACCCAGCAGGGTCATGGAATCTCCATCCTTGGAGGTTTTTAGCTAGACAAAGCTTGAGATGGGATGATCTAGTTGGTGATAGTCCTGCTTTGAGCAGGGGGTTGGACTACATGACCTCGTGAGGTCTCTTCCAATCCTAATTTTCTATGAATCTATGATTCTATGATCTTTGGTAATAGTTAAGGCATTTTCACAAAGCAGAATCAGCTGTCTGGCAAGTGGGAAGAGGTATGGCAGATGGTTCTTGACAGATCTTGCCCTGGTTGCCCTATATGTTCATGGGAACCAAGTCAGGGAACTGAATCTGAGGCACTGGCTCCCCAAGACTAGGCCTTACTTCCTATGGATCTTTTTGATGGTTTACCTTATTTCAGAGATTTTTTCCCCCCTCTAGGGCCCATTTTGAGTTGGAAGGGAGTTTTAGGGCTGCTTCTACAATTTTGGCTGATAAAACAAGTGGGTTCTTCCAGTGTGGGGTAGATTACAGCCTGCAAATCCGCCATGGGAGAGGACCTTTTGAAAATGTCTGCCTCTACCTGCCCCATTGATATTTCCAGAGAGATCATAGAATTGTAGAGAAGCGGGGCTAGAAGGGACCTCCAGAGGTCATCTAGTCCAACCCCCTGCCTGAGGTAGGATCATCCCTATCCAAACCATGCTATATAAACCATAATGTAACTCTACATAAGACTACGTCATCCCTGACACAAGATAGACTTAACACCTTAGCCTGTCATAGGTAAAGAAGGGGGACCATGGCAGCCAAAGTCCTGCTTCTATAAAATGTTGTTGACGTGCTCGAGAGGTCCCAGGATGAGGGCCATGCCCCCTGCTACAGAGGAAGGCAAAAACGCCACGGTCCATATCACTCCGACCATGAGGTAAAATTCCTTCCTGACCTCAAATATGGAGATTGGTCTGACCATGAGTGGAGGGGCACGACCCTCTAGCCAGGAGCCTCTGGTTTTGGTCACAGTAAGAGCACTGAAAAACCTCAGTCAAAGCCCGCAGCCTTGGCTGTAGCCAACACCCAACACCTCTGGGAAGGCTTAAAAACACCTTGACATATGTAGCAGAAAAGAGGCGGGAGGCAGGGTATGGGGCGGGGGGGAGGCAAGGCAACCAGCAAAGCTAAGAAGCATGGGAAATACCCATATTAGAACATAGGTGTAGCTATGCCTAGATCATCCCCAACCAGTGGCTGTCCAGCCTCTTCTTAAATACCTCCATTGATGCAGAGTCCATAACTTCCCTAGGCAGTCTATTTCACTGCCTCATTGTTTGATATCCAATCTAAACTTTGCTGCAACTTCAAGCCGTTGGTCCAGGTCCTTGTCTCCGTAGCAAGACAGAAAAGGTGCTTTACCTCTTCTGCACAGGAATGCGAAGTACTGAGTGAACTCTGTGGGGTATGGTCCTACCTGGTTCTGCAGCACCAGTTATCTGAGAACTTCCTTATGAAGGGGTGTGTCACTGGCAGAAGAAGACTTTGGAACTGAATTGCATTTCTCCGACCCCAATGTATCAGTTGGGAAGAAAAACCCGATGAGAACTATTTGGACTCTCCTCCCCTTTCTTGGGTGGGGGAAATTGGATCCGATGATTTCACTGTTCTTCTGGGTCGGTATAGGGTATGTCATTAAACACACCATATGCCACCCCCTTACTGAAGGGACCCTGTCTCTTGTAGGTAGGGTGACAGTTACTGCTGAGCACAAGGGCCAGCACAAGGATCAAACATCCAATCATTCCCATTTATATACTGTTTTGAGGGACTGAAATTATCCTACACACTGGCAGTCAGTGAATACTACCGTTAAAGGAGGAGATACCACCACCACCACCGTGGGGTAGCAAATGTTGCATTTTTATGGCATCCAAGACACTTGGATTTTGGAGCAT